AGAAATAAAGAGTGTCCAAATTGGAAAGGAGGAAATCAAATTGTCTCTATTTGCAGATGACATGATTGTATATCTGGAAGACCCCATCATCTCAGCCCAAAATCTCCTGAAACTGATAAACAACTTCAGCAAAGTCTCAGGATACAAAATCAACGTGCAAAAATCACAAGCATTCCTATACACCAGTAATAGACTTCAAGAGAGCCAAATCAAGAACGAACTGCCATTCACAATTGCCACAAAGAGAATAAAGTACCTAGGAATACAACTAACAAGGAACGTAAAGGACCTCTTCAAGGAGAACTACAAGCCATTGCTCAACGAAATAAGAGAGGATACAAACAGATGGAGAAACATTCCATCTTCATGGTTAGGAAGAATCAACATCGTGAAAATGGCCATACTGCCCAAAGTAATCTACAGATTGAACGCTATTTCCATCAAGCTACCAATGACCTTCTTCACAGAACTGGAAAAAAACACCTTAAACTTCATATGGAACCAAAAGAGAGCCCGCATAGCCAAGTCAATTCTAAGCAAAAAGAACAAAGCAGGAGGCATCACACTACCAGACTTCAAACTATACTACAAGGCTACAGTAATCAAAACAGCATGGTACTGGTACCAAAACAGAGATATAGACCAATGGAACAGAACAGAGGCCTCAGAGGAAATACAACATACCCACAACCATCTGATCTTCGACAAACCTGACAAAAACAAGCAATGGGGAAAGGACTCCCTGTTTAATAAATGGTGTTGGGAAAACTGGCTAGCCACGTGCAGAAAGCAGAAACAGGACCGCTTCCTGACACCTTACACCAAAATTAACTCCAGATGGATTAAAGACTTAAACATCAGACCTAATACCATAAAAACCTTAGAAGAAAATCTAGGCAAAACATTCAGGACATAGGTGTAGGCAAGGACTTCATGACCAAAACGCCAAAAGCAAGGGCAACAAAAGCCAAAATAGACAAATGGGACCTAATCAAACTCCACAGCTTCTGCACGGCAAAAGAAACATCAGTAGAGTGAATTGGCAACCAACAGAATGGGAAAAAATTTTTGCAGTCTACCCATCTGACAAGGGGCTGATATCCAGAATTTACAAAGAACTAAAGCAGATCTACAAGAAAAAAACAAACAAGCCCATTCAAAAATGGGCGAAGGATATGAACAGATACTTTACAAAAGAAGACATACAGGAGGCCAACAAACATATGAAAAAATGCTCATCATCACTGGTCATCAGAGAAATGCAAATCAAAACCACATTGAGATACCATCTCACACCAGTTAGAATGGCGATCATTAAAAAATCTGGAAACCACAGATGCTGGAGAGGATGTGGAGAAATAGGAACACTTTTACACTGTTGGTGGGAATGTAAATTAATTCAACCATTGTGGAAGACAGTGTGGCGATTGCTCAAGGACCTAAAAATAGAAATCCCATTTGACCCAGCAATCCCATTACTGGGTATATATCCAAAGGATTATAAATCATTCTACTACAAGGACACGTGCACACGAATGTTCATTGCAGCACTGTTTACAATAGCAAAGACCTGGAACCAACCCAAATGCCCAACGATGATAGACTGGATAGGGAAAATGTGGTACACATACACCATGGAATATTATGCAGCCATCAAAAACAATGAGTTCACGTCCTTTGTAGGGACATGGATGAACCTGGAAACCATCATTCTCAGCAAACTGACACGCGCAGAAAATCAAACACCGTATATTCTCGCTCATAGGCGGGTGTTGAACAATGAGAACACATGGACACAGGGAGGGGAGCACTACACACTGGGGTCCGTTGGAGGGAAATGGGGGAGGGGCGGGGGGCAGGGAGGTTGGAAGAGATAGCATGGGGAGAAATGACAGATACAGGTGAGGGGATGGAAGCCAGCAAAGCACACTGCCATGTGTGTACCTATGCAACAATCTTGCATGTTCATCACATGTACCCCAAAACCTAAAATGCAATAAAAAAAATGTAATACCATTTAAATTAGCATCTCTAAAAATGAAATATTTAGGTATTGGTATTTGGTGTTTGTTAGGCATAAATCTAACAAATTATGTATGAAATTTATAAGAAAAAGTTAAAAAAAAATAAATCTAATAACTAAATAAATGGAGAGAGATTCCATGTCCATGGATAGGTAGGCTCAACATTGTCAAGATGTCAGTTCTTCCCAATTTAATCTGTAGATTTAATGCAATCTCCCTCAAAATGTTAGCAAGTTATTTGTGTATATTGCTAAGTTGACTCCACAATTTATTGGGAAAGGCAAAAGACTTAGAATAGCAAAAAATTAATCTTGAAAAAGAAGAAGGAATTGTAGAAATAACACTACCCAACTTTAGGATGTACTATAAAGTGACAGTAATCAGGACTGTGTGGTATTAGCACAGAAACAAATAGATCAATGGAATACAATACAAAGCCTATAAATAGACACATAAGTACAGTCAAGTGATCTTTGATAAAGAGATAAGGTAATATGATTAAAAGAATAGTCTTTCCAAAAAAAAAAATACTACTTAAAAAACTGGACCTCCATGGGCAAAAATTGAACTTAGACACATACCTTATATTCTTCACAAAAGTTAACTCAAAATAGATCACAGACCCAAATGTTAAACTAAAACTATGAAACTCTTAACAGATAACATAGGCCAAAATTTGGATGACATTGATTTTGGTGATGAATTTGTCAACACAATACCAAAGGCACAATCTATGAAAAACGGAATTTATCACCTTAATTTTATTAAAATTCAAAAATTCTGCTCTGCAGAGGACACTGTCAGGAGATGAAAAGACAAATCACAAACTGACAAAAGTTAGTCACAAAAGACATACCTGACAAAGGATTGTTATCCAAAATATACAACAAACTTAAAACTCAACATTAAGAATACTAACATTCCAATTTAAAAAAATGTACCAAAGCAATAAGACACCTCAAGAAAGAATATATAGAGATGATAAATAAACATAAAAAGATGCTCCATATCTTATGTCACCAGGGAAATGCAAAATAAAATGGTAATGAGATTGTACTACACAACTATTAAAATGGTAAAAATCCACAACACTGAGGACCCCAAATGCTGGCAATTAGGTAGAACAGCAGAAACTCTCATTCACTGCTAGTTGAAATCTTCAAAATTACAAGGTAACATGGAAGACAGTTTGGCAGTTTCTTACAAAACTAAACATGCTCTTACCATACAATATAGGAATCATACTTACCTAAATGAATTGAAAACTTATGTCTACATATAACCTGCACACAGATATTTATGGAAATGTTAGTCTTAATTGCTAACATTTGGAAGCAATCAAGATGCCCTTCAGTAAGTGAATGCATAAACAAACTGTGGTACCTCTCAACAATGAAATATTACTCAGTACTAAAAAATAAATGAACAATCAAGCCATAAGAAAACATGGAGGAAAAGTCAGTGCAAGTTATTAGGTGAAAGAGAGCAGTCTTAAAAAACTACCTACTTTAAAATTTTAACTTTACAACTTTCTGGAAAAGGCAAACCATGAAGACAATAAAAGATTGGTGGTTGCCAAGGATTGGTGGGAGAAAAGCATGAATAGGCAGGGCACAGAGAATGTTTAGGATAGTAAAACTACTTTTGTATGATACCATAAAGGTAGATATATATCACTATACCCTTGTTAATACCCATAGAATACACAACACAGAGAATGAACCCCATTGTGATTCGTGTACTTTCAGGAATGATGTGTCAGTGTAGGTTCTTCAATTGGAACAAATGTACCGCTCCGGTGGGGGAAGTTGATAATTAAAAAGCTATGTATGTGTGAGGGCAAGGGGCATATGGAATATACCTATACTTTGTTCTCAATTATTCTTTAAGACTAAAACTCCTCTAAAACATACAGTTGTGTTTTTTTTGTTGTTGTTGTTTTTTGTTTTTTTTTTTTGTTTTTTTTTGAGACGGAGACTCTGTTGCCCAGGCTGGAGTGCAGTGGTGTGATCCTGGCTCACTGAAACCTCTGCCTCCTGGATTCAAGTGATTCTTCTGCCTCAGCCTCCCAACTAGCTAGGACTAGGCGTGTACCACCATACCTGGCTAACTTTTGCATTTTTAGTAGAGATGGGGTGTTACTATATTGGCCAGGCTGGTCTCAAACTCCTGATGTCGTGATCTGCCCCCACCTCCGCCTCCCAAAGTGGTGGGATTACAGGCATGAGCCACCTCGCCCATCCAAGTATATTTTTAAATGATTATTCATACATTAAAACATTAAACCTAGTATGTGCCAACATAAATAACATATTTTATGGAAAATAACCATATCCACCCCCTCCAAAATAAACAATGAAAAAGGTGAAAAAAAGAAGGAATCCAAGAATCCACAATGACATCTTCCCATTTGTTTGAAGCTTGAGCTAGTGATAAACATATATTTAATGTTCTTTCACCTGCCTTAAACTGTCATTCTTTTAATCCTACATTGTTTTAAACACATTCACCTGAGACTCCAGATGGACATGCTCAGAGAATAGAAGATTTTTTCATCCTCTGAGCAGTGGGCTAAGAAAAGGTACCAGAAAGAAAGAGTAGATAGTATAGTATATACTATAGATAGTATACAGCTATCAGCTATCTGGAAGGCCTGTGGAGGGGACATCAGCTAAGGCACAGGTGGCTTTTTCTTTTGCTGTTCTTCTATGCTGAAGTTAAATATAATTCTCATGGCTGACCTGCAACCCTAGAATAGATCTGAATTCAATATATTTTAAATATAACTAATTTGGAAGCATGATGTGATAGAATATTATATAGCTTTTCAAAGAAAGTTCCTGAAATTAAATATTGATGTTGCTAGGGCTGGTTGATATATTATGAGGCAAATGGGAGTCTGTATTTGGCATTAGACCTGATTAAACATGAGTTTACAACACTACTGGTCTTCTCCCAGATTTGCAACTGACTTACCCCAAGGACTTTGGGTTCCCCCTTCAAGAACTTCTCTTGCAACCTTTTCCACAGATGTGAATGTAAGGCAACCATGTTTCCGAGCTGGGGCACTCCAGGGCCAGCCCCTGGCATGGCTTGTTCCATTCCTTGCATGGTTGTTCTGGCAGCAGAAAACGTGTTGCAGTAAGAAATGTAATTTAGGATGATATCCTGGAAATGCCAGAAGAAAGACATGACACCTTGGGGCTGATTACTCCCTAAGGACAAAATCTGGTGTACCTTACCTCCTGTATTATAATAGCTGTTAGAGCTAGGGAAGTGGAAGAGTCAATACATTAAGGGGAAAGAGAGACTTAAATCTTATATGATATCAAGATGCTAGAAGAGAGCACATGTTGACAGAAGTGAGGTAAATTAGAGAAATTTCTTCAACTTCAAATCTCAAGTCTGTTCAGATTTTATTTTTATCCCATTTAATGCCTAGTCCCTTGATTAGAGACACTTCCTTGTGAAGGGTTACTTTTATAATATGAATAAGGTACACAAACTCATCTGCCTTCCAATTAATTGTATAGCATTGTTAAGTTCCTCCTTTTATAACCAGAGAATAGTTAAATTCTCAGGGCTGAAAATCCTCCCACGTAAACTTATATTTTGTCCCACAAACTCTGAACTTTGGGAATGAAACTTATGGCTCTGAGTCATATTCTTGGCACCACAAATTTAAATCACTTGTCCTATTACAGTGCTTTAAATCCTAACTTGCTGGTGCATAGCAAGGATACATAGTCCTTTTTTGAGATTCTAAGCCCAAACATATTACTCTTATGCCTCTTTCTCTCCTCAGTATAATGACTACAACAAAGTAATATGCAGATAGGCTAAAGCCACATGGGAATTTTTATTATTATATTTCAATTTATATTCAGATGTTTCATGGCCCACTTCCATAAAATTTTAGGGATATGAAGCTTGCTAATATCCTTCAAAAGCAGTTAGTCTCTGAATAAGTCTTATATTGGAGTCCATAAAGAAAGAAGCAGATATCCTTGATATAAGCCTCCAAGAAGTCCCACAGATTAGGAACATCTGGATATATATCAAATATAGAATATGTAAAAAGTATGGATAATATGTAAAAAGTATGGATAATATGTAAAAAGGCATGGAAAATGAAAATGAAATCACAAAAATGAAAAGTCAAAGATAAAGTGCAAAAAGTGACACAACATATTTGCAACAGGGTTTCAAACAAATTTTAAATATAAAATAATGTTCACTGAAAAAATTAGCCATTGTGTTAAATAACAAGTAACAGCTGAAAATTAGAATTAGTCAACTGGGAAAAAATTGAAGAAATCATCCCAAAATTTAAAAGGTCTAGAATATGTCTGATTAGAATTCTAGAAAATGTCAGCAAGATGGCCAACTAGAAGTTACTAACCCTCATCACCATCAATACACACACACACACACACACACACACACACACACACACACCCCAAAAATGAATAAACAACTACATTCCAACCAAAATAAATAAAGAAGAGCACCAGAAAACAGCAAAGGAGTAGCAGAAATCTTGTAGAGCACAGAAACTTAGTATAGCTGCATGAAGGAGAGAAAGCATCTTTCTTCCACCACCCCTGACCCCAGTTAGAACCAGCTCTGAGTTAGGAGGGCCTTCTTCCATCAGGGAAAAGGTAAGTGAGAGCACCCCAGCAGCTCCCATCTTCACCATGAACACCTGCAGTCTTACTACCAGAGACACTCAGAGTCTTCACAGGCTCTGTGCTCAGCTGACAGAGCTACCTCAAGTCTACATGTCTATTCTATCCCAGAGGAGGTGCTGACACTGCCCTGACCTCCATGACCTGAGCTGTTACTGTGCTGCACCTTCTTGGAACCAAATCTCTGCTAGAGTGGATTCTGCTCCAGGAGTGAGTAGCTATTACACCCCTCCATCCCTGAGGCTTAACCACCACTGCACCACACACAGCTGGTAGCCATACCTGAATCAAGCTGCTGCCATCTACTGTACGCCCTGAGGTCAGGCTGCCATGGAGCTGCTCCATGCCCCATCTGAGTCACTGGTGCACCCTGCCCCTCCAAACTCAAGTTGAAACTATGCCCCACTCTCTGGGCACCCATATCTTTGATTAAGCTATGTCACCACACGAACTAGGCAAAATACCTGCAGTGCCACACCTCCCTGGAACTGACTAGTACCCTGGAGCCCAAGCTTCTGAGTCCAAGCTTCTTCATTTCTGCAGTGCTTCAAGAAAACCAAGGAAAAAGCTACAGACAGGCCTAGCCATTCCTGAGGACTTGCTGCTGCTATATCCAGCCTTACAGAGCCTGGGATATTGCCATGCCCCACCATCCCAGGGGCTAGAATTACCACTATGTGGCACTCCATCCCCCAGGGTTGGAGTTGCTGCTGTGCCCTACTGGCTCTGAAACCCAAATTTCAACTGTAACTTGTGCCCCAGAGCTCAAGCCTCCAGAGAACCCCTCCTTCCCTGGAACCATGACGATGTTATGCACTGACTCCAGAATCAGTCACAATTCCATCCCTACCCATAGGCATGAGTTACTGAGGTATGCTCTGGAGTCATAGCCTTAGCTTTGTGGGTAATCTTCATCCAGCCATGACTGAGTGAGTGAACCTTTGCCTCAAGTCCCAGATGCTGTAGTAGTTTTGCAAGCCCTTGAGCCTAAGACCTCAGCTCACACCGCTGCTATGTCTGGAATACCTGTGCCTGGAAGGTACAAGCTGTAAGCCTTGGTGGCATCCATGTGGTGTTAACTCTGCAGGCTCACAGACTGCGAGAGCTGTAGGGGCTTGGCTTTCTTCACCTGGGATCAAAGAATGTCACATATAGCTATGGGAGTGGAGCCACTTCTAAGAGCCTCTATCAGGCAAAGCTGAGTGGGAATGTGGGGTCAGAGCTAACACAGAAAATCCCAATTAGGGATATGCCTAGTGGAGCCATGGGAATGGGGCTACCTATGAGATCTCAGAACTATAGGGCCACTAGCATGCAACACCAACCTAATGGAGCAGAAGCAATGGACAGAGTCCAGCAAAGATGAGGTAATGGAGTCATGTCTGAGGGCCCATCAGCATTTCCAGAATTCAGGACATGGAGTCAAAGGAAATTATTCTTCAGATTTAAAACATAATTATATTTTCCCTGTTGGATTTTGGACTCACTTGAAACCAGTTATGCCATTTTCTTGCCTGGTTGTCCCCTTTGAACTGAGAAAGTCTATTCTATACCTGTCTCACCATTATATTTTGGAAGCAAATCACTTGTTTTAATTTTACAGGCTCACAGCTGGAAGCATTTGCCTCCAGATAAGTCATACCTCGAGTATCATCTATTTCTGCTTCTGATGACTCTGGACTTAGAACTTTAGAGTTGATGCTGGAATTAGTAAAAACTTTTGAGGGTATTAAGATAGAATTATTGTATTTTGTATGTGAGAAGAACATGAATTTGGGAGGGTTGTGTATGAAATGCTATGGTCTTTATGTTCCCTCTAAAACTCATGTAAAAACTTAATTGCCATTGTAATAGTATATAAGATGTGGGACCTTACAGATATACTTACATTCAGGGACCTCCATCCTCATGAATGGATAAATGTCATTATCAGGGGAGTGGGTTAGTTATGGCAGGAGTGGACTTCTGATAAAGGAATAAATTTGGCCCCATCTCTCTCTCTTTGCTTTGCACACTCAACTTCCACCTTCCTCCATGGGATTTCTCTCACCAGAGGCTTATTTTAGAGTTCCTTAGACTTCCCAGCCTCTAGAGCTATAAGAATTATAATAACTACAGCAGATACATGAATAATAAAAAATTAAAAGCTTAGCATTTCACAAAATTACTAAATCACAAAGGGAGATAAGAGATGAGGAAAGAAACAAATTACCTGGATTGAAATTTTAGTTCTGCCACTCTTTACTTGAGTTTCTTAATCTTTTGTTTTTTAGTAGAGACAGGGTTTCACTATGTTGGCCAGGCTGATCTTGAACTCCTGACCTGTGGTCTGCCTGCCTCGGCCTCCCAAAGTGTTGGGATTACAGGTGTGAACCACAATCCTCTTTTGACTACTATTTGCGTGGAATATTTCATCCTTTATCTTTAAGCCTGTGTTTTTTCTTAAAGCTAATGTGAGTCTCTTATAGCATATAATTAGATCTTTTTTTTTAAATTTTAGCCACTCTATAATTGAAGAATTTAATTCCTTTATATTTAAGGTTATTATTAATATGTAAGTATTTACTAGTGCTGTTTTGTTATTTTGGGAGCTGTTTTTGTAGATGTTTTGTTTCTGTAGCTCTGTCCTGTGAATAATAGAGCATATCTCTTGGAGAAATTTAATGATGAAATAGCACATGTAAACATTTAAACCAGCTCATGTCATTTAATAAATACTAACTACATATTGACTATTATTATTGGTCTTCCTACTATCACTTACTCATTTTTGGCTTGAAGTATAAAACATAAACTTCCTCTAACACTTCCTGCCACTCAAGGGCATGCTAAAGTGGGGCTTTATTCCTGACATGCCCCTGCTCAAACCTGCTCCTGTCTTGGGGGAAGTTGAAAAGCAGAGGAGAGGGGTCTATAGAATTGGTGAGAGCATGCTATTCATGATACCATGTTGTCAGAGGTTGATTCTTCCTCTCTTTGGCAGTTTGTCTCAAAGATTGGTCAGAAGAGTCAGGGTTGTGCTCATTTTTGCTCTCATTGAATAAGTTAGATACAAGACTATGTAGAGCTGGGCCAAAAGGCCCTCCTCTTCCTCTTGTAATCTCTGTTCTAATGATAATGAAATTTGTGAGGTGGGTTATATTTACATTTTACTGAGTAGGTATAATTGAACCCATATGTAGACTTTAGCATTCCCTGAACAGAAGATTTGAAGCAAAAGAGTAAAATAAAATAGCAGGCCTTATTTTTGGTCTTAAACTGAATCCATACCCTCATATTTTGTTAAACCTGAGAGAATTGTCTCCCTCTGAGCTTCATTTAAAGTCATTTTAATAAAGTCCATAATTTGATCATTTAGCAAATTGAGCAAAAAGAAGAGGTAATTTTTATTTCAAACATTAGAAGACCATAGTAGAAGATATTCAGTCTTCCTCAAAATTTATCTTTCAAATAAAGGAAAGTGACACAAGGAATATTATGTGGAGATTATTTTAGAACTCTATAAGCAGTCCTTAATCAAGAGAGGCAAGAGCTAAAGGTAACAGAAAATCTAAGAGGGCTGTGGGACTGCATGTGTCCTTTCTTGATAGAAGGCCTAACAATTAACTCAATTGTCTGTGTTAACTGTCTGGTAGTTTGTCATTGATGCCTTCCGTTACATACCCTCTATGCTCCATCAATCATATACTAATCCTATACAATCATTTTTTAACTCTGTATTTCTCCTACCTCCTCAAGCCAAGCCATCATCCTATTTTTATCAGAACTATTGCTTACACCCTCTGAATGTTCCCCAGTGTCCATTTGTGGCCTTAGATGTTCAACCCACCCCTGACTTTGTAGCAAAAATTATCAAATGCCAATCTCCTTTAGAGTCCTTTCTTTGCATTTCACCACCTTTAGTAGAAAGATAAAAATTTAATGTTGTTGATAACAGAAACTCTGCTACTTCAGCCCATATCTATTATCCTAGCCTTATCTTGAATCTCTCCTTTTTATTTTTTTAAAGCCCCAAGTATGTTGATTTATTTAAGTTGTTCCAAAGAAGAAATTTCATTCCTATATTGAGACATTTGCATATGTTGAGCCCATTTGCAGGGATGTTCCACTCTCCCCACCATGACAACCTTACAAGAATGACAACAAACCCACCACAGCATCTGATCTTCTCACACACTAACAGTTTTGCATAGCTCCTGTCTTCTCCAAGACACTGTTGCCCAACAATCCCTGATTTCCACATGTGGATTACTCAACCTCTGGTGGTAACTAAAGGTTTAAGAAATCTGTATTATTTTTCCTTTTACACCACAGAAACCAAAGTTATTTTGAATGAAACTGAAGATAATTCTTCTTAGTCCACCTAAATGTGTACCAAATTCTTTATCATAAGAGAAACTCTGCTTCTGTCCTTCAGACACATCTTCAGAAGGAGAATTTAAGAAATGTTGGATTTGTCTTATCAAACATACCTGGCGGTTCTCCCTCCATGTTTAGTGCCTCTCTGGTAAGACTGTAAGCCTCCCGAGGGCAGAGCCATTATGTCAAAATAAGGCTTATAACTGCCTCTTATGCTTTTCCATAATTCTTTAGTAACATAGGTCAGATTCTGGCCATTCAAGGCTGGTGCTTTGCCTTTATAAGACATTCTGGACATAAATTTATATAATTGTCTCCTATCTTTGTACCACGGAAATCCATGTGTTAATTACCTAGGGCAGGTAAAGTCCCCAAGGAAAGAAACATGTGTTTACAAGGCTCCACTTCTCTACAATAAAAAAAAAAAAATTTAACTGCAGAGAATACTGGATACAATGGGGGACATTTCTTCCAGATTGGAGAAGAATCTAAACCTTGGTTTTGTCACATTGTTTATATGCATCAGGCTCTTGACAACCACAATGTTTTTTTTTCCCCCCATGATAAAGAGGTGGGGGAACCAAGACCACCCTTCCCTCTTCTATTGGCCCCAATCTCCTTGTGGATCAGCAGCACCACCAGTCTCTTGTTTTCTCATTTTTATGTCACCATCCCCTTCATGGGTCACAATCACTAGGAGAGAGCATGAGGAGAGTGGTATAAATGACCATCATCTTTTTCTGGCAAAGTTATGAAACAGACTGGAAACCTAAAATGAGGCCTGAACCTGGATGGTTTTTAGGAAGATGATGGGGATGCAGAAATGGTGGCATGGGAAGGGAAAAAGCCTGAACTAAGAAACAAGAATGCTGGGTTTTTTGTTCCCAGCCCTTTTATTAACTTGTGTGATTCTGGGTCCATTAGTTCCTCTTTCTGGATTTCATTTACTTAATCTGGGGAAAGAGTACAATGGCCATGACTATATACAAACTTACTTCTTATCCCATGAAGGCTGAAAGTCTACAAGGTGTTTTTCATTAGTAGATTGCCTGGGTGCCCCATGAAGAGTGCCAAAGACCGCTGGAGAACTAGGTCAGGCCACAGCCCATCTAAATGTACAAGGCTGGGGGACCCTGCCTGTGCCGTCCTCCATGTACACCAAATTCTGCACGTGGTAGATCATTTCTTAAATTCTTGGATTATAAAAGTAAACAGTCAGACACAGAAAATAAAGACCATGGAAGAGGGACATTAACAGTAGATGAGGTAATTAGTCAAGAGTTTAAAAATATTCCTTTCAGTGTTTCAGTAACCTGAGAACTTAGGGGACAAAAGTAACTAAAACAACCTCACCCAGACTTCAATGTCAGCCTTTAGGAAGCTTTTCTAACTCCCATCGACTGTAGCAAACATTGTTCCTCAATCAATGCCTGCCCCCACCCCCCACCACTGCAACCAAATGCACATTTAAAGGTGCACTCAACCCACCCCAACCCTGACTCCCAGCTTGTGTCATGGGAAGTGGCCTCATTTTTTTCTCACTCCACTCCCAGAAGTCGTAAATCCAGGAAATGAAACAAACAATCAGCCCAAAAGTCTAGGAAGGCAAGTCCCTGGACCTACCTTTCTTCAGGCCTGCAATGTCCACCGTAGGTCTGATGTGTGCAGTGCTCTGGGCAAGTTCCTAAAATTTCTTTGGTTAAAGCACAGTGAACTTCCCCCACTCCACACCTCAGTTTAAATCTGCATTCCTCCTCTAGCAGATGTTTGGTATCTTAAAGGCTGTGTTGAGAATTTCTGAGAAGCAACAACTAGTTCCTCTTTTACAAGGCAAGCATTAACTGATTTAGTGTTTCCCATATGGGTGTGGATGTTTATTTTGAAATTTGCTGAAAAAGCAGTGACTGCCTGATGCAGTCTTTTTTATGAAAATAATGGTGCTAATTCCCGTGGATATCAGTGGTAGAGGACTTACTGTATGTCAGTCTCTGCTCAAAGATTGTCCTATAAACAAACTAAATAAATCATAATTTGTAAATGTCCCCTTTTACAATTTCACACATTTCCATAGTACTCTTTTCTTCCCGGAGAACTACTATTACTATTTTATTAGGTTGATGAAGAAGTAATTGCACCTTAATATACACAACTTAAATTTCTTATTTACATGATATCCCACCTTTGGAGATTCAACATGAATAGCCATAAAATGGTTGCACAACAATAATTAATACAACACCTTTCTAAGTCAAAGAAGCAGCTGGTATCATAGAACCAGCTGGTCTTTGATTAAGACAAACTCAATGGTAATCATTTATTGCATGACCTTGTTAATCCCCTGAACCCAAGATTCATTTGTAAAATAAAATAATGCTGACTTTACATGGAGGAGGAAAGCAAAGTGGCATATATTTTTCATTCATTCAGCATTTTCTTAGAGATCCAAGCAGTGTTGTTTCTTAGAGAGCCAAGCAGTGTGCCATGTGCTTCAGATAAAATGATGAAAAATGATTTTCAATCAAGGAGTTTGTAGACTACTTGGCAATAGAGAAAAGTGAATAAATCACCCATTATAATCAGTTACCTGCAAGGTGAAGTGGCAATACAGATGAGTAAATAAATCATTACAACCCATTATAATCAGTGATCTGCAAGGTAAAATAAGGTATCCTAAGAGAGCTCATAGGACGATCAATGAACTCAATATTGGGTAGGCAGAGGAGACTTCCTAGATAAAAGGACATCTAATTGGTGACCTGATGAATGAGGAAAAGACACACAAATGGAAGGAGGAGGGAGGTAGATGACATTATTATTCCCATTTTCCAGAAGATGGAACTGAAACTCTGAGATATTTCTATAGCTGGTATAGATGATATTGAAATCCAGTTTTGCCTAATTATAAAAACTTTTTGGTCTATGATCTGAAATTATTTTTATTCTCAGAATTAAAATGAATTATATTTCAGAAATATTGTCCTAGTTTTCATGTAAATAACAATAGGAATAAATAATACTGTAATCAGAGAGTTAGGCTCAAGGAAGAGGCAGTTCTCTAGGGAAGGGATGATGGTTACCTGAACTACCTGTGATGCTAGCGAAGTTGGTGAGAATGAATGGATTTGAAAGATGTTTAGGAATGAGAAATGACAGTACTTCTTTATATAATGGATGTATAAATTGGGATAAAAAACAGGAAAGGATGACACTCATTTTGGGTTGGGAAACTGAGTGATAGAGCCATTCTCTAAAGCAATAGACATGGACAGGGACAGAACTGCAGGAACAAAGAGCAAGATTTTGAGCATATTTAATTTGAATTGTGTGGGGACCTTCAAATAAGGTTGACAATAGTTGGATAACTGGCGGGAGCTAGGGAATGAAACCATGGCTGTAGAGGTAAACCCAATCGCTCTTCACCCAGAGGGATGAGGACACGAAGGCTTCTGGGTAGAGGCAGAAAAGATTAAACCCTTTTTGCTAGAGGATAGAACCAGTATTATCAGAAATAAGAGTCCCCAGATGATGACAAAAAAAGAGATTAAAGAAGATAACAGGCAAACTAGGAAAATGTGACATTACAGAAGACAAGGGTACAGAGTTCCATGACTTTGCAAGAGTGGTTGAAATTCTAGACTGAGAACAGACATCAGTCTTTCCTCCCTTTCCATATGGTGTGAAATGAGACATGATTAGTGTTATTATTCGCAGACAAGTGATTTTGAGAACTTATGGTGACAGAAAGAACAATAAAAATGAAATCTGACAGAGAAACAAATAGAATCACCCAACCTCTAAGTAAGTATAGGACAAAGCTAACTACTATACAAATAAGAGCAAATCAGAAAGAGCTCAAGTTCAGTGTCAAAACTGTAAGCAGCAGAGAAGTCGGTCGGAGCCCAGAGCAGTTGTTAATTAATTTTTAAAATTATATTGGAAAAGCTGGGTCAGTTGTTCCTCTTTCCCTCACACAGGCATCACATAACAAGATAGTTTATTCCCAAACCAAAATATGCAAACTGTTTTATGCTCAAAAAACCAAACCAAAAACTGATTTATATGTACCCCAAAACCTAAAATGCAATGCAATAAAATAAAAATTTAAAAAAACTGGTTTATAGTTCTGCTGTAGACGAGTATATAGAATGTGAGTGCCGGCGCTAAGCAAAAACAGGAAAGAGACAAGAAATAACATCTAAGCTTCCATTCACAGGGTATAAAGAAAAAGAAAAAAACAGAGAACATTAAGGAATTGATCCCCAAATGAGAGTCCTGAGTTCACTCTCTAGAGCTGGGATTCTGATGATGAAGACACAGAGGTCACCTTAGTCTGGAGAAGCAGGGGGCTTTCTACAACCTACATCACAACCAATCTGTATGCATAACCTGGCTTTATGCCTACTCTTCTCTCATAGCCACCAGATGTAGGCTGTGGTAAGCAGGACCTACATTCCCTGACATAATAAAAAAATGGACACTGGTCATTTAAGAAAACCAATATTGTAAAACAGAGAAACCAAATACAGCAAACAAATCAACAAACATGTTTTCTATTTTCTTGATTGACTGTTCTGTATTACCCTTTATTGGATTATTTCTCTCTCCAATTAATTTTAGTAGTTATAAAGTCTTTTACTATGTATTATCTTGTAATCCTAAAAATCAAAGCATGTGCATTTGATTTATCAAATTCCAATAACATTTAGAACATTTATTTCCTCCAGGATAGTCAATAGTGTGATGGTAGGTTTAATCCCAAATATGTAAATAAATATGTCATATGCAATAATATACAAATATTTCAGACAAAATTTTAAAAGGTCAAAACTGAAATAATTACTATTTAAAAGAAGTACATTTTAATACATACAAAAAGTGTAATGTACAAGGATGGGAAATGATATATTGAGTAAACCCTACCCCAAAAAAACTTACCAGACAAAATTGACCTTAGAGAAAAATATGTTACTGATGAGCAGAAGGATTAACTCTTAATTATAAAAATAGTCCAATCTTCAGAAAGATATAATCATTTTAAGTGAGTATATATTTAATAACAGAACTTCTAAATATAGAAGCAAAAATGGACAATCTGCAGAGTATTAAATAATATTTTAATACATATAATTAACAAAGGATATATATCCAGAATATATAAAGAACCATTGTATGCATTAATTAAAAGAGACAACTCAGTGGAAAATCGTTCAAGAGGCTTCTCCAGACATGTCACAAAAAATACCCAAATGCACGAAAGATATTTGAAAACATGTTTGATCTTAATGTTAATCAAGAAAATGAAAATTAAAACCACAATTAGATACCACAGTACATCCACCAGAATCAGAAAATGATATTGAAAAAAGCATAACAAATTCTGGACTCACTTCTCTGAGTGAAACTTATTGTTTAATTTTTCTTTCCAATTTTTATTTTAGGTTCAGGAAGTACATCTAAACATGTTCAGGTTTGTTATATGAGTAAAATGCATGTTGTGAGGATTTGGTGTCCACAGTATTTTGTCACCCAGGTAATAAGTATAATACACAGTAGATAACTTTTCTATCCTCCTCACACTCCTTCCACCCACTACCTTCAAGTAAGCCCCAGTGTCTATTATTTTGTTCGTTGTGTCTATGTATGCCCATTTTATAGCTCTCACTTATCAGTGACAACATGTGTTATATTGTTTTCTGTTCCTGTGTTAGTTCACTCAGGATAATGGCATCCAGCATCATCCATGTTGTTGCAAAAGACATGATCTCATTTTTCTATGGTTGTGTGGCATTCCATGGTGCATATATACTACATTTTCTTTATCCAGCCCACCGTTGATGGGGATTTAGATTGATTCCATGTATTTGTTATTGTGAATAGTTCTGTGATGAACATATGCATGCATACATCATTATAGTAGAACGATTTATATTTTAGAGGGTTTACACTCAATAATGCGATTGCTGGGTCAAATGGTAATTCTGTTTTAAGTGCTTTGAGAAATTTCCAAACTGCTTTCCACAGTGGCTGAACTAATACACACTCCTATTAGCAGTGTATAAGTGGTCTCTTTTCTCTGCAACATGGCCAGCATGTTATTTTTTGACTTTTTTGTAAGAGTCATTCTGACTGGTATGAGATGATATCTTATTGTGGATCTGCATTTTTCTTTTCTTTTGGTGGGGGAGGGGACAGAGTCTAGCTCTGTGGCCCAGGCTGGAGTGCAGTGGTGTAATCTCTGCTCATTGCACCTCCACCTCCTGGAATCTCATGGACCTTTAAGTTTAGGAGGCACTAGAAACTCATCAGTCTTCTGGTAGGCCACCATGCAAATCAACATATTAAAACAAGTCCCAACAAAATACTATTGCTTGAAAGTGAGGAAAAATAAGGATTTTCTAAGAAATTGCAGGGCACAGAAGAGTAGCTGGGATTACAGGGGCCCACCACCACTCCTGGCTAATTTTTGTATTTTTAGTAGAGACAGGGTTTTGCCATGTTGTCAGACTGGTCTCGAACTCCTGACCTCAGGTGATCCATCTGCTTTGGCTTCCCAAATTGCTGGGATTGCAGGCATTAGCCACCATGCCCAGCTGGATCTGTATTTTTCTAATGAATTATCCAATCAGAAATTTAAAATAACTATGATTAATATTCTAAAGGATGGCAATTTCAAAGACTGAAGGAACATCAGCAAGCAGATGACAGAGAGCTTTGGAAGAACTGG